ACACTCAAATGCCTGCTCTTGTGAGCAGCAACGTGTGTGTGCCCATCAAGAAAGCTCTCCGGGCTGCGATCCCGTTTTTGGACCCTGTTGACGTGTTTCGGTCGCTGCAGCGACAGCCAATGGTCTTCCGTGAGTTATGCTGCAGGAACGATGGTGACATAGCGAACTTTTGGCGAGAGGTCGGCTCCTCGCACCCTGCACTCCTGCACCATCCCGTGAAGAAGATCAAGAACTACCAATCCAGAGCGGTACCGCTGATCCTGCACGGCGATGGAGTTCCGATTGACAGCAAGGACAGGTCTTGTGCTTTTATCTCTTGGAGAAGCCTGCTCTCCTCACAGACCTCTTCAAAGCTCGTCCATGTGCTGATAAGTGCTGTTTGGACTGAGCAGATCGTGGTGTCTTCCTGTGGCAACACTGTGGCCAGCATCTGGGGACACGTCGTTCGGGCCTTTGAACGATGTTTCGAAGAATGCAAGACGAACAATGACTTGTTCCCGGTGCTCCTTTTTTCTGACTGGTGACTTGGAATGGTACAACACGAGTCACAACTTGCCACGGTGGAATTCCAACTTCCCTTGCGGGCATTGCAACATCAGCAAAGACAATATGTTCGACTACAAAAACGTGGCGGAGGTTCCTGTGGATCCATGGCACTGCCCTCGCCGCAGCTGCTGCCCTCTCCTGCGACACCTTGTGAGCCCCAGTGGTGTGATTCCGGACTGGATGCACAGCAAGCACCTCGGCTTCGACCAGCGGCTGGCTGGCTCAACGTTGTGGGTTCTCTGCTGGAGGATCCTTCCTGGCGGAGTAGAGGAAAACCTGGACAATGTATTGCTGCAGATGAAGGCTGTGAACTTTCCTTTTTTTTTCAGATAGGCTAGCTTAAGCTCCTCCTGTTTTCAGATATGTATAGGCAGCTTAAGCTCCTGCTGTTTTCAGATATGGTATAGGCAGCTTAAGCTCCTGTTGTTGTGAGACATGGTATATAAAAGTTGTAGTGTGTAGGCAGCTTCAGCTCCCCTGCAGGACTACTGGCGGCAGCACAAGGGCAATGGCATCAACTACATCACTCAGACCATGGTCCTGGCTGACCCACAGGATATTCACTGCAGAAAGGGATACCCTCGCTTGAAGGCCAAGGCAGCAGAAACTAAGGGCGTTATTGCAGCTTTGGCGAGCATCTGCCAACAGCACCTGCAACAGGACAACGAGGAGCACCAACAGATTGCCCTGGCTTTGAGTTTCAGCCGCGATTTGGACCAAATGGCAGATGGCATCGAAGACTGGAAGCCCTCGAAAGAGGTGGCGGATCGGATGATGCTCACGGCCGTTTGTCTCTTCCAGTGCATGACGATTTTGAATAAGTCCTTTCTGGAGCAGGGCCATCTGGCCTTCCAGTTGACATTCAAGACACACTGGTTTCTGCATGGGCTGCAGCTGGCGAGGCATCTTTCCCCCAAGCTGACTTGGACATACTCCGGCGAGGATTATATGTCCAAATGCAAGGGTCTCCTCAAGATGTGTACCAAGAGCCGGACGATGCTGACTTCGTTGGATCGTTTCATGCGGCAGTACACAGATGCCATGTCAATCGAACTGGCAGAGATCCTTGCACAGCCTGGACCGCCGCTCTGAGGAGAAAAAATGGGACCGTTCCTTAATTGCTGAAGGAAGCCTCGGGCTCCTCGTTCCTTAATTGCTGAAGGAAGCCTCGGGCTCCTCTGAGATTTTGAGCGCCTGCAGTTCTGAAGCAATCTAAGCCTCGGCCTCCTTGTAGGATCTTCAGGGCATGTCGTATCTGCTGCAGCCGTTTTTCAGCTCAAGCTCGCCGCTCGCCTCCGTAGTACAGCCATGGCAGACGAGGCCGAGCAAGCCGTTGAGGTCAAGGACCTCGTGGAGGCAGCTCTGCAGAAAGACGAGGGCGACCAAGCCGTTGAGGGCAAGGACCTCGTGGAGGCAGCTCTGCAGAAAGCCCGAGAGGAGGAGCTCGACCCAGAGGCTCGCAAGTGCAAAAGGGAACGGTGGGTGGGCTACCAACACGTGAACTTCCCGTGGCTTTCTACCGCCTTCCTCAACGAGGTGTTGCCCAACAGCTGGTTCGTTTCCAAAAGAGCTTGGGAAAAAGAAGCCTGTGTTGCCCGTCGAACCCTGAGGCTGTTGACTTGCCTCCGCTTCGGCCTCAAGCTACAGCAGCTGGCTGCCGGCAAAAACGGCGGGGCATGAGTGCCATGTAGTGGCTCCATGCTATAATTTAATGCACGTGTCATGACACATGTGTATATATGCTAGGGATCGAAGTCGCTGCGAGGGAAAAAAGGAGTGCATGAATCTATAGGAGCTGTAGTCCAGGAAGCCAAAGGCTCCTGAGGGATATTAAGATAGGCCAAGGGCGAGGAAGCTGCCAACTCGATCGCTTTAGAAATGCAATAAGCAAGGAAAAGGCACAGAAGGCACAAATGCACCATATACTCAGAAAGGCTTCCATGAACCCCGCAAGCCAATGGGGTCCAGGAAGCCAGGCAACCAAGAAATCCAGGATGTGTCAGTCCTGGATCCGCACGGGACCGCCTCGTGAAGACGTGGCGGTCCCACCCATGTGCGAGGAAGCCGCCAGCTCCTAAAAAAAAAGGTAGCTTAGAAGCTCCTATAGGCATCCGGTGACACCATAGGATGTGCCCGCATGCATGGTTGTTGTATATATATTGTATGTTTTTCCCGTGCAGTTTTTTTAGTTTGCAGCTGTAGGACTCCTGCCATGGCACTGCCGACAGTTGGCGAGCGGCTGAAGGTGCTGCCGTCAGTGACTGCAGCTGCCCTTGAAAATGCCGTCGAAAAAGGGTTGCGGCAGATGGGCCACAACACACTCGGCATGCTGTGCAGAGGACTGGATGAATGCTCATGGAAGACGGCCCTGGGCAAACACATCCAGGAGGTCGTGTTCCTCGCTCCGATCTTGAACCGTATCTTCGAGATCTGCACCAATGGCTTGATACCCCATGCCTTGCTCCAGACTGCTTTGCTCGGCCTGTTCAAGAGGGACATCCTGGTACTACAGGCTCCACAGCAGAAGTTGCCAGGCTGGGGGCGCTTATAATCTCATGATAGGTATAGCCTAAGGATCCTAAGACTCTAGTGCCTAACCCGGCCCCTAAACCCATAAATTCAAAGCCCTGCAGGCTGGGAAGACTCGTCGCTGCAGTACTTCAACCTGAGATTCAGAATGCTGGCCGGCAAGATTCGGGATGTTGCCACCGGCAAGGAAAAGATGCCCAAGAAACTCGACAAGCAGGCACTTCAACAGGTGCAGGCCCTCTGCTTGCAGATCAACCCGAAGTTCAAAATGGAGGACATGGTGCAGCCATCGGAGACAGTGCCGCTGAAAGGTGTACTTGCACTCCAGGACGGGCCAGCGAAGGATGCCGAGACGGAGCCTGCAGCAGCAGTCGTACCTGCACCTGTCACTCCTCCGGTGTCCCATACCCCCGCTTCTGGCAGCATGGGCTGCATGCCAAGGGCATCTGGAAGCATGGACTTCATGCAAAGGGCGACACAGCAAGCTTTGCAGAATGCCTGGGCAGCCTCTCCGGCCAAGCCCCTCACCAAGAAGCAGAAGGAGGCGGCTGTCCAGAAACGGCCTGCGAGCAAAGCTCCAGAAGCCTCGCCGAAGAAGCGGCCTGCTGCCAAAGATCCAGAAGCCGGCACAGCTGCCAAGAAGCAGAAGGAGTCTGTTAACCCTGCCCCTGTGCCCGGCCGCGAGGAGAAGGAGCTCTACCAGGAGGCGATCAGCACTATTATCTCTGACTCCGTGTTTAAAAGCACGGACAGTAGGAACCACTACACATCTCGATTTTACGCCAAGGCGAAGAGGCTTGCTCTTGGCCACGGCTTGGGGAAAGAGAAGGCCGTAGAGTGGGCTCGCAAAGCCCACTCGAAAGCCAGCCAGCTCTGGGATGAAAAGTTTCACTGAGAGTGAAGTCCACTCGAAAGGAAGCCATGGGATGAGACTGCGAGTAAAAGGAGTGCTGCATCTGGGGTTTTGGGCAAATTATAAGCCAGAAGCCGCCTTAGGAAGCAGAAGCTCCTGAAGCATCCAGTCCAAGATTTAAGTCAGGAAGCCTTAAGCTCCTCAAACATCCAGTCCAAGATTTAAGTCAGGAAGCATAAGCTCCTGAAAAGAATTCAAGGAAGCAAGAGCTCCTGGAGGAAAATCAAGGGCTAAAATAGCCTATGTAATAGTTTAAAATAGACTATTCAATAGTTTAAAATAGACTATAATAGTCTATTTAAAATAGACTATATCCTAGTCTATTTTTGACTATATATCTTATAATAGACTAATAGTCTATTTTAGGATATATAGTCTGTTAACAGCCTAAGAAGATTCTTTGGGGTAGCATAGTCATCAAGAGCAGAGATCGTCTGCTTTGATGCGGACCGCCCACAACACAAAGACGCGCTGACGTCTTCTTGCCGACACTACTAAGCATTGTTGCTTGTGTTGTCATGTACCGCTGTCTTTGGTACCAGAAAGTCAACTCCTAGTGCTACTGCACATATCACGGAAGCCACTGAGCTTCACACGACGTCACCACGCTTTGCGGGTCGACGGTCTTCTGCTTTTGCTGACAGTTCCGGCGCAGATCGATACCCGATGCCCTTGGGCCAAACCACTTCGAACAGTGGCATGCTGCAGTGGCACCAAGACCATCTTCAGTGAAAAAGTCTTCAACTTCACCTACTTGCAAGAAGCCTTGTAGAAGTTCCGATCGAACATGCATGCAAAACATGAGTGGACAGCATGATATGAGCTTCCACCTGTCTTCGGATGGCTTCGGATGTGCTTGCTTCATTGGAGCCGATACGGCTGTGTGGTCGAGGAGGTTGCAGCTTCTTCTCCGCTCGCTCTTGAATGCCTCCTTCTGGCGTGCTCTTTACATTGCTAGCCGCCAACAGCCAGGCAGATATCGGAAATCATGGTCCGAAATTAGGATCCCTCTTCAAGGAGCCCCCATTCTTCCAAAACTCCCACATGACTGATCCGCCTGAATCTTCTCCTGGTCGTAGCTGCTGTCAGTCTCTTCCAGCTGCTGATCAAGCTGCTTAATGCGCTCCTGGCCAAAAGGACACCCTACTGCCAAAGTGCCACTAGAAAACCTCTAATTTCCTAAACTTAAGGTTCCGCTGTGTGCAAAGCCCATGTGGCCCTCGACCCAAAGGCCTTCACCGCCTCTGCATGGCTTCCATCGGTCACCAGCACAGCCTTCAAGATGCGGTCTGATCCGGAGAGGATTTATTGCCAGTGCGAGTGCTGATCAAAACAATGGAGAACAAGACCTCACAATCGTAGACAGAAGCAACGAAACAGAAGAATAGCAGCAGCAGCAGCAGCAGCAGTAGCAGTCAAGACTCTTGGTCTCTCCTAGAGTCCTAGAGCTGGCCTTCTCCTTCTCCACGACGACCTTCTCACCTGAAGGCAAAGACAGCAGCCCTCCGCCCCTCCCAGAAAACCTCTGAGCCAAGCACATGTGCCGAGCTGGTCCACCGTTGCATCTGCAAGGGTCATGCCCAGCTCGGAGTTGATGAATTCAGCACCTAGGCACGGGGGGCTTAGCTAAGCCACTTTTCACGGCTTGTGCAGTGGCTTATGCTACGGTAGTACTGGTAGCAACACCACTCATGGTGGCTGTTGTCACTTTGACTTGGACAACAGTTTCACATCTCTCCGCTGAGGCTACATGATGGAGAAGTTGGTTTCCTCCCCTGGGTCTCGACGAAACTTCAACTGCCCTGCTGCCACCCCGAAAATGGCTGAGAACCGACTTGGATGGTGTTGGAGAGCATGGCCTGGCCTGTGGCCAGCGCAAGGTCTTGCAAAATTGCCGTCTTCCGCGCGCCGAAGGCAGGGGCCTGGCTCTCCAAGCACTCTCCTGGTACTCTGTGACAGGGAGCGCTCGCAGCCGCAGGGTCGCTGCTACCGACATCATGGCTCAGCTGGCTTCGTCATCGTTATCATCATCATCAGAATACGAAAAAGCTACTAGGACTAGGACATCGTGAACTCGTCACACATGCATGTGCCCCATAAGGTCCACAGCCTTGATGGCGACGACATCCAGGATGCCCCGCTGCTTGTTCAGAACAAGGGTCTGAAGAGCCTGCCGATCTAACATCGAACTCTCATAGTACCAGTTGCCATCATCACTACAACATATGTATTCAATATAATTTTGGGATGACGGTCATGCTTGCTAGTGTCATTGCTACTCCCCATTTAATATGTCTTACAAAACCATGCGCGTTACTGTCATCCGTCTTGCCGCTATGACACAGTATGATGAGGGATTGCCATGACTGGAAACATCCGTTCTTACTCTTCGTACTGCTCTTACTGTTGTCAAGAACCCTGCCATTCTTCTGCGTATAGCCTGTACTTGCCTATACCAGTGGTACCAGCATTGCCGTCGAGACTGCTACTATTCTGACGTGTTTATCATCTATGCTGACGCTTATCACAAGCCGCCAGCACTACTGTCATCTTTGGCAGCACTGTGACTATGCTTGCCAGGCTTAACCAGATTCCGGCTCTGGGTACACTTGCCATCAGAATCTGTCACCCTGGTCATTCTCATCATTGATGATATGACTATCGCTACTGCCATTGCTGCTGTTGCTTCGGACAGCTCTTACACAAATAACAGTCATGACGACCACCATCATCACAAAAAATCACAACTGCCATAATGAATACAAGGTCTCATGTCTAGATACTTTTGCCATGTTCGGCGAATTTCGACTATACTTAAATTTCAATGTATCAACCTGACTTTCTCATCTCGGTTCTTTCGCGGGCAGTAGTCTAGTAAGTATGATCGTTCTATCATGCTTTTCTTCCTACCACTGGTACAGCCGGACTGAGTTGCACATGGCCGAAAATCTCGAAGATTCAGTTCGGCCAAGCCCAGCCCTGAACCCCGGAGCCAAAAACATGCATTCAGCACCTGGCCTGATTTAGCCTTTTTTTGTGCTTAGGGGACAGGGAAGTGAGGCGCCGGCTATTTTGGGTTGTGAACTCACACCTCAACACCTCAAACTGGTCCCTGCAGGCCTCACCAGTCACATCATCTGCGATGATGAAGATAGGCTGCTTGGTCTTCAGCAGGTCCTTCGTCGCACCATCGCAGAGTTAGAGCTTGGACAGTTCCAAGCGACTGCAGAAACCATACTGCATGGCCTACGTGTACGCTCGATGGAGAAACGTTCGGCTCAACTCCAAGCCCCTAAACCCTGAAAATCGAAACTGTGCTGCGAAGCCCCGAAAGCCTAAAAGCCTAAAAACTCTGAAACACTCGAGCCCTAAACCCTGAGACCCCCCAAGCCCCTGGGCCCTAGGTGTCCCCTAGGCGGGAGCCTCCAGCAAGGTAAGGATGTCGTAAGCATCTGAGAGCTTCTGATCGGTCACGAGGACTCGGGGCCTCAGCTTCCCCTCCCTCAGCCCTTACAAAAGTAGGCTTAGGACTCAAGTCCCCCTAATTCTCAGAAACTCCTATATGATAGCCTATAGAAGCTATAGGTCCTTCTAAGATGCTCATGGTGCTGTGGTAGGTGGAGGGTAGCATAAGTACCTGGCAGCGCCCGTACTAGAGGCCTGGTAGGCCTACTGCAACAAGCAAAGGAGTCCCATGGGATGTTCCTGGGGTTCGTTGAGGGCTTAAGGTAACCCCAAGCTCCGAGTCGATTCGGGCCCTAAACCCTAAACTTCTAAACCTTGCATCCTTCCCTGGGTGCTGAGATCCGAACTTCTTGAGCTCTGCTACCAGGCGCTGCGCATCTGTGACGAAGTAGGGAGAGATGTAGCCTTTCAGACCGTCTGGTTCAGTCCAGGCCGAAAGCCCCAGAGCCCTCAACCCTAAGCCTTAAGCCCTTCTACAACCCCTAGGTCCCCTGAGACCGGAACCCTAAACACAAAGCCGGCCGCCTCGATCGAGGGTCAGGCCTTCACTCACCTCGACCTGGCCGAACTCTCGGGTGTAGAGCCGAGTGGGCCACGAGTAGGGTTTAGGGTTTTCATTGGGGTTGTTGGCACTTCTTTTCTTATCTGCACGGGTTTAGGGTTGGAGTTTGCGTTTGGGGCTCAGGTGTAGGGCATTGATGGCGTTGGGGGATTGGTTTCAAGCTGTTTTAAGAGGGGGTACAGCAGTTCGAAGGCCCGAGGATACTTCTGCTGGAGGCTCTTCAAACATCGACATTCTTACTATTTGTGCCTATCTGCGCTCTCTAGAGACTCCAGAGGCTACGAGGGGAAGAAGACAGGAAGCCAAGAAATCAGACCGCAAAGCCACGAAACTCAAGACGGAAAGCCAACAGCCAAAAGGACACCGAAGCGAAGAAGCAGCCGAGAAGCCACAAAGACAACATCATGTTTGGTTGTATTATGTAAACTGAATGGTTTTACGGTTTTACGCGAACTGAAGAAATAGTATGTGCCTGCATTATCCAAACTGGCTGAAATACATGTACCTGCGTGTCTGTGCTTGGATGGCCAAACGTTCGATTATGCACCAAATATGTAACACCAAAGAGTTTAAAAACATTCGATTCTATGCCACAAACCTAAACCCCAAAACCCCAGACCCAAACCCTAAACATGCAACACCAAAGAGTTCAAAAACATTCGATAAAATACCAAACCTAAACCCTTAACCCTAAACCCAAACCCTAAATGTGTAACGCCAAAGAGTGTAAAGTTCTCCCAGTGGCTATCGAGTGCCCACTAGGCATCCTGCCTCATCCTCGAGCACCTGCGACTCCTCGATCACCTCTGGAAGATGTCGGTTTCGTGATGTAGTTTAGGACAAAAAGAAAAATACTAATAACAAGGATACCAATAATAATGCTAATATAGATTCGTAAACACAGCCAATTTAATACAACGCAATGTAACAACTGCAACTTGATACTAGTATTGCAATATGTGGCTGGATCATCTGACAAGAGGTCACCTGAGGTTCTTGTGACCTCGTGGCGCATGGCCTAAGGCTTAGAGGCTCGGGGTTTGAGATTCCCAGGTTGAGAACTGTCCAGAGATCAAGTAACGTCAAGGTTTAGGTGGCTATTTGTGAGACTCAAGAAACAGGAACTGCCACTGCTGCTTGAAGAGTGATGTTGTCAGGGCTCCCACGACGTTGCCAGTGTCACCGACTGTCTCAAAAGCCTGGCAGGCATCTGCGCACCGGAGCCATGAATCCTGAGGCCCTACACGGCAACGTGCGCCTGAGAGATCTTCTGCCCCATGCCCTCGTCTCCGCCGACGGAAACTGTGGCGATATCTGGCAGTGCGGCAGAGTGGTCGTCTTCCAGGTCAAGTTTTCATGCTACAGCCGAAGCAGATCCCCTTTGTTTTGTGGTGGTTCTTGACGCTGGGCTTCTTATGGTCAATAACGGCCATGCTAAACATGGCTCCGAATCGAACCGATGATGGCTTCTATACACAGAATAAGCCACACATTCACGCGCCGTCAGCAACCCAGCCTTTAAGATCGCCGCTTTGAACTGGCTTTGCCAGCTGGTCAACCTTCCCAGGGGCTTCAGATGGGAGTTTCCGAAAACAGGGGACCCAAATATAGCACCCTAAATGGCAGGATCCTTATTATAAGGACTCCCAAATAGGGCGCCCCGAATTTTTGGAAACTCCCAGATGCTTGCTTGCGGAGCTGCGTGAAGCCGGCGGGCCTCGGAGGCAATGAAGTTGGCAGCTGCCTGGAAATCGCGAAAGAAACAACTGCAAGGGATTAGTATCATTAGTAGTATTAGTATTATTATTAGTATCAGTATCAGTATCAGTATTAATATTAGTATTAGTACTAGTATTGGTATTAGTATTGGCAATATGTTTTTATTATGCTGTTATTATGGGGATTATTATTTATTGGGATTGCTCAGGGGATTCCCACGTCGCACGTCTCTCTCGTGCAGACAAGGGCTCGAACCGCCACAGAAGGCACCTCTGGCGTGAGCCTGTTGTCCTTTCCCCTGTCTACAGTAGTCAGTAGTCATGGCCCTTTTTCATTCTGCAGAGGGGCACCGACTTGAACTGACTGACAGATGATGATTATGATGACGATGATGGCGACTAAAGTGTCGATGATGACGTGACGATAGTGATAACGATGGTGCCGCTAATGATTCGCTAATGACGAAAGTGATGACGATGATGACGATAATGGTGGTGGCGGTGGCTACAAAGGTGTGGGTGATTATGATGACGATGATGATGACGATGGTGATGCTCATGGTGATGATGATGATGATGACGATGGTAGGACGCAGGTGTGTAGATGCGTGAAACCTGGAGGCATGACGCGACAATTACTTTTTTGTCGTGACTCCCGCAAGATCAGGTCACAATGAAGTATACATGCTTATGTAAAGTTAAATGCAAGCAGCCTTTGGAGCTGTCCCTCCACTCACATGATGAACTAAACCCCGAACCCTCAATCCTGCACCCGGCCTTCATGCCCTTCTGCATGAGGACTGGGTTGTACCCACTGCTCACGAGCTGCATGCCCTCGACAGGTATCTCGAGATATCTTGAACGCATGGCGAGGGCTCGACATTAATGAGACTACAACGACTAACAGACAGCAACACGCGTATTCCTTCCCTCAGCAGACAGAACTACAACACCTCATGAAAGTAATGCCAAGCTCCATACCCCGAAACCCTGTATATACACCGAAACCCTTCGAAGCCTCGTTGACCATCTCCTGGCAGCGGTGCTTGCAATCAGATGCAGGAAGCTGCAACTTGCTTGCGGAGTAAGCCGACCGAGTGTCTCTGAGTTGGAGAGACTTTGGGCTGCTTTTAATCCCAAGTTTAAGGCCAGGGCTCAGAGTTCAGGGAAGAGTTTAGGGACGGGGGACCCGGGGCCTCTAGGGTTTATCCCCCGCCTGGGTGAGAACGGCAGCGCTGGTCGTGCCATCCCCCGCGTTGGACTCAGACTTCGCGGAAGCCTGAGGCCACACTTCTGGAGCAGTGCAACCGAGAATCGTGGCCATTCAGTATTAGTCCGAAGAGCCACAGGATGCCTTTGAGCCCCGTATAAACTGGAAACCGGCAAGTGGCTTGACACCTCCGGGTACACCCTCCGAAGCGTTGGAATGTGCACGGCTTCGCAGAGGACAAATACACCGCCGATACAGACATGTCCGAGAGATTGCGGGGATCACGAAGCGCCCACATGTGCCTGCGTAAGGAGCTTTGCGCCGAGGTTCATCTCCTTGTCCTGTCTATGTACGACACTACACATCATGCGCAGATGCCCTGGTGCGCATGCTGTCACGAACTGCTCGAAGCCCCTCTCAAGCCTGCAGTGAGATTGCACGAGCAATGGTGACCCCGTCGTTGACGATCTGAGGAACCTGTGTAGGGTGTGACATGTGGCAGAATTGAGACGGAAGGAGGGAAAAAGACGCCCGGCCTGGAACGACTCTCTCTGGAGCACCACGTTTCGGCCCTTTGGTCCCAGGGTCACCTTCACCGCGTTTGTCACGGCATTGATTCCTGCTTGGAGCCTCAGGGCACAACTTCGGCCCTCCCCCACTGCCCGTCCCCAAAAACACAAGCTCAGCCCTCCATGGGTGCAGAGAACGAACGCAGCCGTGGTGCTTCTGTTGTCCGGCTTCCCTGAAGGAGATCTTCTTGGCAGCCTGCACTACTCAGAGAAGATCCGTAGCTGACGATGAGCGGTAAATGCAGGTCAGGAGGTAAGGCAAGGCAGAAACGATTTGAACCGACATAAACCCTGTACTTGCTCTGAAACTAAAGTTTAAAACAACACAATCCCTGCAAAGTGATCCCAACCCAGTCGGCGGCCCTTGCCTCCCTCAGCACACTGGGCTCCCGGGTGGCTGGGAGGCCCCGCTGCCCTGTCACAAGGGGGATCCGCTTCTTCGCAGTTCAACGTTGGGTGGAAGCTCTTGGCTGGTTCGGGCCGAGAATTCAAGTCAAGATGCACAAAGACTTTGTTTATAGTTTATAGATTGTGCAACTGGTGATTGAATGAACTGACTCGAACTGCGCTTGACGTACGAAAGCCAACTTCGGCAGTTGCACAGAAACACCATAAATTTCATCTTCAACTGGACATGCCCGGAGCTTTAGCCTCCAAGCCCTCAATCACTTTACACCCCAAACCCTCCAGCCTAACATTCGCTGACGCCTCACCCTCTGAGTGTTCCGCAAGGGGGGCACCCGACAAACCCGGCGAAGCGACGGCGTACCAACATGCGGGGAGGGATAGATTCGGACGGGTGGATATATAGATAGATAGGTAGGGCGGTAGACACAGCTAGCGCGGCCATGTCCAGATTCTATAGATTCTAGATGTCGGCTTTGGGATTCGGAGGTGTAGCAAAACATACTTGGACATATGTGTTTTCACTGTGGGTAATATAGGGCCATTATACTATAATGATAGCCAGGAACCCACCCAAATAGCATAGGTAATTATTAAGGCCCCTACAGTGTTTGCTTGCATCATGCGGAGCTGTGGTTGCAGGTAGCCGGCCTGCGAGGACAAAACTCGACTGCCAGCTGGCGACGGCCTCAGACCCACAGGGACGGGTCATGGTAATATAGGGGCCTTAAGAATTAAGAATAGAATACGGCTGTGGGGCCCGTTATACAATAATTATGATAAGGAACCCCCAAAATAGTATTGATTAGGATTGGTAATTACTTCTGACCGATGTTTCAACTCCAAACATGTGACCACTTAGTTGATCTAAGGGCTCGCGGTCCCAGGCCCCGTCCTTTTGCGAAGCCCCGTTTTCATACTCAGGTGATGATGAGGCGAAGTTGGCCGCGATTGTTGAAGGTCTCAATCAGAATCCTCATCATCATCTTCAAGGTCTTCCTCCTCGCCTCCTTCCCAATCCAAAACGTTCTCCTCATCTGATGGCGCATTGATCAGTTGTTCATCCGCAGTCGTGGGCCCAGATGGGGGCATCAACAACTTTTCCAAATCAGAACTGTCGTATTCGCCCATCTCCAACCCGAAGCACCCTTCGAAATCTTCAATCTCTCGGAGCTTCCGCCAAAGATGCCCCAGCGATGTACACCCCTCGGCATCCACCGCACAGACCTTAGCTCCTGCAGCGATAAGCCTGGCACAGCAAGCCGTGGGCACGGACCGGTTGAATCTCGAGAGAACACCACAGGCCCCCTGGGCAGCCAGCATCAGCGGCACTAGCCCTGAGTCATCTTGTTGATTTACGGCTTCTTCGGGAGAAGGGGTCAAACGCAGGAGTATCTCTAGCCGCTCGAGATCCCTGTTGTAGACAGAGCAATGGATTGCACGGGAAGCTTCGATGGAAGCACCTTTTGCCAACAAATCGCGAATTTGAGCCTCGGTACCTTCGTTTTTCACGAGCTCCAACAAATCCTTGTTGATTCCTGAAGGTAGCTCTCCATCCATCGGTTCTAGTATGGGCACCGACCTAGCCTCTCTGGGCGACTTCATCTCATGATCCAAGAAGCTGGGAACTGCGAACAACACAACGCCTTCTCCTTGCAGAGCCAATTCCTTGGCCTGCACAAACCCGGCCTGGAGAAAGCACCGGAGCTCTGCATCACTAGGGATCACCACCGCAACCGTCCATCTTCCCTTCAAAACGGTGTCCAGCAGCAGCTTGCGGATCACCACTGCCCCCAAGTTTGGACGCTGGAACTCGTCGTCACCCAGCGTCTCAATGTAGAGAAATCCACCAGACATCACTTCCGGGCCACAGGCTTTGACGGAAGCCAAACGGATCCGGCCCCGGGCATCGCAGAAGCTGGTGCCGACGAGTGCCAGCCCAGCAGATTCGGCGTCGCAGGCCTCGTGGAAGTTGTAGCGCAAATTCTTCTGCCTCTCCAGGAGGACCATCTCTGCATGGGTCTGGTACTCTGCCAGGGAAATGCGGGCCTTCAGCACGTGCACTCCTTTGACCTCTGCTGCCCCTATGTGCCCCAGCTCGGTGTAATAGCCTCTGTCTATTGCGATGTCTTCATCAGACTCGGGCGGATCCTCATCCATCATCTCTTCGGGCGTCTGCAATCTCACCGTCACAGACTGATCAAGGCGGCGCAGAGATCCTCGGAAGGCCACTGACACAGCCGATGCAACAGCACCATCCCGTGGAGCCAGATGGCTTGACACTCGCAGGAGCATTTCCTCCCCTTCGAGGAGCACCATGGCTCCAAAGCACGCTGCGAAAGGCGAGCAGTGGCCCTCTGCGTGGAGGTGGACAGGGTGGGATCGAGGACAACAAGTGCATGACCAGCGACAATGACGACGAGAATACTAGATGACTTGCAAACTCCCCTAACCCGGCACCGTCACCCCACTCCCCTCGAGCCGACGGGCCTCAAGGATGCAACACACCCATGCGCCCATGCACCGTATGTCCACACAGTTCTAAGTCTCGCCGTGACCAAAAAACCAAAAAACCAAAAAACCAAAGTTCAAGGGGTGAAAAGTTGCAGAAACGCCTGGGAGCAGCGCTGGGAGCCCGGCAGCTGCCACAGCGAGCAGCGTAAGCTGCGATCGCCGGCTTCGCACTCTTCGGGAAGCCATGGCCCTGAGGCCCTGAGCTGCGCGCTCGCCACGAGACTCTCTTTTTCACGTGTTTTTCGGCTCAGGCTTCGGGAAGAGGGCTCTGAGGGCTCAGTATGGCTCAGTCATCTTTTTAGCTCCAACCATGGCTTCAAGCTTGCGCTGGCTTGCAGCTGCTTGCCGCGTGGACTGCCGTGATTGGACGGGTTGCTTTCGCAGCCACTTCCCGGGACATGGACCAGTCAATGCGGTATTGCCAAGCTCCCGGCGAGAGTGTCTTGCAGGGCTGCAGCGCCACCCTTGAAGACCCCAAGCTGCGGTGCCGAGTCGCAGGACGTGGCGTTCGTTCCGCTTTCGACTGGTGCGTTACGGGCTCTTACCCCAACCCTATGCACTCAGCAAGCTGCCTGATATCATGTTTCAATAAGTTGCACATCGCAGGAATGTGGCTAAAGAAACTTGCACACGCACATGCAATGAATTTGGAGACATATCCTACCACAGCTCATTAACTACTCTGCAAGCCCGAACACATACGACAGGTGCTCGATGCTTCAGGCATTAACTGCTTCGCCCAAGTTGAGGGCAAGAGCACTGCGACAGGTTGCTGAGGCTGATCCACACACACACACACACACTAGCCCTACCACCGGTACCACTACGGCCAAAGATCTTGGTCCTAGTTTCTCCAACCGTTCCCCTCTACAAACCTCAAAAACCCGTCGGACGTGCCTCGGTGAGACAGCACTGCGCTCCGACAAGCCGGAGCTGCATCTAGTGCTCCAGTTCTGTAAAATTGCACTGCAACAAGGCTTCGGGGGGTAAGGGGCGGCTTTTAGGCAGCTATAGACCCTAAGCCCGATAAATCCGATAAACCCGATAAACCCGAAACCCTGGCTGTGAGTTCAGAGGTCAAAGTTTCCTCACGCATCGGACTCGCCCTTCTGCACAGGGCTCTCCACATGATCGGCACCTTCAGGAAGCGCTTACGGTTTTTTTTTTTTTTTTTGAGCGCCTTTTTCCGTCTGCCTGAAAAGGTGTCTGGAATCTGCGTGGCAGAAGGCGGTTACCCTTACCCCTCAGTAGTGCTTGACTGTCGATGTTGTCCTTCACCATCTTCTTTCTCGGCATTCTTCGGTTGCGACCCTGCTTCACTCATCAGTTCCCCTGCATTCTCAATTCCAGAAGGTTCACCTTGTGCGTCCTGGGGAGTTTCACTCAGACCAAGAACATTCTCCACGTCCCACACGACCATGCCCGAGAGCTCATGCCGACAACGTTCTAGACCCTCATCTCGCATCCGTCGGAACATCCTCAGCCAGGCTAAGCCGTATATTTCCTGAACTGTTTCATCCCGTAGGAGGCCTTGCATCCACCTGTCGTGCACTTGCTTCACGACGCTGTAAGAAATACGTGTAGTAGACGACGTAGCACAGGTAGATCCGGGGTCCTCGTACGTGGTCGCCACAGCCTCTTCACTTTGACACGGCGAGAACCGTACGACCCCTTCCAACTGAGGCCGAATCGAGTCAAGCCCACCTGTTCGCCATGCCCTGAACAGACTGAGCCATCGTTCCCCAAAGGTCGCAGCGATGTTCTCATCAGTTCGCATGTTGAACTTCCACTGCCCGTACATGTTCTCGAAGAAGGAGAAGTCCGGCCTCGGCATACCTTCCCCCACCATAGGAGACCTCTCTCTGGTGTCCAGGGGCGGGGGCCCTGTTTGCTGGTGCCTCTCCAGCGACTGATTCTCCGCCTGAGCCACCGCGAACTGAGCTTGCACCATTTCAGCAACCTCATCGCCATGCCTCGCAGTTATGTCTTCCACTGTGAGAGCACCATTGCGCCAGTCCGCATAGATGGCCTCGAAGTCCCTGAACTCCAGGTCCCCAAAGACGCCCCCTGCCCGTACAGCTGCATGTGCTTGCTCCTCCGGCTCGTTTGCCGCATGATGGTCCGGCGCACTGGCCACAGGCACAGTGCTGACGCAGTCCGGCTCGTCTTCCATCCTCGCCCTGATAGTAAGAGATATAGCCTCACCTGTGAGTGGGACATCAAGAGCAAGTGTGTGCAGTACACGGGGTCGATCGCTGGAACCACTTGCAGCTTCCACAGACAGGACGCAGCGTCTTTTGTGTGGTCCTTCCTGTGCCACCATGCTCTGTCGAAGCTGGTCTTGCTCCCATTCACGGTACGCTCGAGCATCCGCCCGAAGTTCCACCAGCTCTCGCGCTTGTAGTTCTTCATGGGCTGCCAAGCGACTCCTCTCCGCCTCCTCCTCTTCCTGACGCTGTTCTTGCCATCTTCGCTCACTCATCTCGTCCTCCAACAACTTGTCCAAGTCAACCTCTGAGCCACACCCCATGGCAGTAACCGCCGCCGATTCCACCAGTGAGCTTTGTGAGTCCACTGGGACCGGGCTCGGCTCCGACAGGAAGCCCGGAATGAAGGCCGAGAGCTCATTGACCCAGCTCTGCAACCATTCCAGATCAGCACCAGATGCGTCCACCACCCGCTGCCCAGGCGTAGCCCCCAGGGCCACTAGGAGCGCCTGAAGCTGCGAACCAAAAGGCTCCGTAGCATCGTTCATCATTGGCGGAATCCCTTCCAGAAGCAGTCGGGCATGGATCCTCTGCAAGGCCCCGTCTTGACTGAGGAGCTCCTTGTGCAGCCTGGTGATCGCCCTTGTCCACCGCTGCTCCATTGTTCCCCGACCATCCGTCAGGAGATAGGCCTGCATGAGGAGGTTGAGGTCATCCTCCTCCTCCACCTGCACTTCCACAGTATCGGTTTCATGTGTTCGAGCGATAGCGTCAGCCACATCCAACGTTTGGCTCAGCTCAGCCATCATGTACCGCAGAACGGTGACAAGCGCACATGTTGACACCAGCCGGTTCTGCACCGGCATCGCCTCGTGCTGGGCACTGATCTCCCTGAGCATGCGTGGTGGGAGGAAGCTGCCTGGGATCTGAGAGTTGCCCTCCAAGCGTGGGCCGAAGTGCTCGCGGTCGAAGAGGTAGTAACGCCATAAGTTGACTGCTTGTTCCGACGTCATGGGTTGGGTGACGTCCGGGAACCCGGCTATGGTCGGTCGAGCCACCAGGCTCACAGGGGCTGGGTCTCTCGAACCCGATGCAGGCTCATGGCAATGGCTGGCTGTCCCACCTGAGGTAGAGGGCGGGATTGAGCTGCCACCGCGTCTTGCCGCCCTTTCCCTGATGCGGTTCTGCTTCGCTTCCCTCCCCGAGTCCGGTACCACTGTTTGCCCATGTCGACGTGCCCCACTTCCCGAGCTGGCCTGACCGGTGCGGCGCGGGGTGCGCGAATCCCTGATTCGGCGCCTTCCATTGTGGTAGCGGTCCCTCTCCATCAAGCTGACCCCATCTCCAGTGGAACCATTGCCAGGCTGCGAGTCCTCCTCTGCATCATCCCTGGAGGGCAGGTAGTACCCGTAGATGTGGTTCTCAACCTCTTGGGCCCAGGAAAAGAAATTTGCCGGAGTGGTCGACGAGTCCAAGCCAGCAGAGTTTGGGAACCCCGCCCCCAGTGTGGCAATCGGGCCCATAGCCCATGCTTCATAGTCCGCGTCCCTTCGCGCCACCGCCTGAGATCGCACCATGCAGATAGCCATGCCGATGGCCCGGTCCTCCTCGAACCATCTCCACATCTGTTCTATCAGCCTCTCCCATCTGGTCTGTCCGCCTGGTGGAAGTTGAAAATGACTCACCGCGTCACCGACCGGGTCCGACACCGCCTGCGAGCCGCCCTGCGTTCGCCATTCCTCTCGGCCTCGTCTGTGTGGCGTGCGGGATCTGGACTGGCGGCTCCTTTCAAGTTGCTCCCTGCGGAACCGTTCCTCTGAAGTCCGTACCCGAGGGAAACCATGCGCCGCCAGATCTTGTTCAAGCTCCATGTTATCCATGGCCTCCGGGCAGTAGGTCCGTAGCCACCGCCGCCGAACTTGTTGAAGGCACCAATCCGACATCTCAGCAACATCTTCCCGTGAAGGGCTCCCCATCCTGCTGATGACCGGGTCGTCCTCAACCCTACGGTACGCACGAAGTCTGCGCTCCATCTCCCCTCTGATCTCACCGACCTCATCGACAAACCTTCTATCATAGTGTGCCGCAAAGGCAGCGTCCATCATCAGCAGGAAGGAAGAGACACTCATGCCCCGGTCGATCATCAGCTCTGTACGTTCCATCATGTCATCAAACCAGTAAGGAACCCGATTCTCCATCCACGGTCCATCCACTGAACTTCCCCCGGGAAAGGTGGCCGCAAGGGTCACTGCAGAGATCACAGACATCAGGTTGACATTATCAGACTCCTCCCCGGTCTCCTCGTTGTCCATACCCTGCGAGACTTCGAATCGTCCCTCGACGGGCGGTGCCTCGACACCCGGATCAGACGTCCCATGAGGCCCCCAGGTCCCTTGTTGCGGATTCACCCAAGCTGCGTGGAAGAGGCCGTAGGGGTAGTCCTGACTGGCAGGCACCGACTGAGGCACCTGAGCAAGAATGCGGTCGTCAGTGGCGAGCCTGTCGATCCCCCTTATTGTCCCTAACTGGTGGCTTCTGCAAGTGGCAGCGTAGTCCTGAGCAGTGGCAAGTTCGACATCACGGGCCCAACGAACCTCTTCAGCCGTCATTGGCGATGTGTACAGGTGCCATTCCAACCGGTCCCGGAAGAGGCCCCTCAACGGCCGCAGGTAAGCCCTGCACCATCTCGTATAGTGCTCATCATCCCGATGTTGAATTCTGCGGAGCACTCCCATCCACACCGGTTCCTGCCCAGCTCCTCCTTGACGGAGCGATTGAAGCCTGGTCGCCGCCGAGGTAAACCACGACGAGTCCTCACAGATCACAGCGTGCTTCCGGCGAATCGTGTAGCTGGGGCCTGCCTGGGGGATGTGCTCCCGCCGACCTTGTTGAGGGTCTCCAGAATCGTGCCGAGGGTGCCCAGAAGAGGAAGCCGAACTCGCGGTAGATGGCACACTGCCAGAGGTAGGGTTATTGAATTCAGGCATGCCTCCGGATATCGTCATTGTCACATCCAGAGTGGTGGGGTTCAGGCCTGGGTTGCTCCGTGATGAAGCGGCGCCCAAGCCCTCGCGGGTCATCACGACCTCTGCGGTGTCATACTCCCGAGTAGAGTTCATCATCGGCAGGTCTCCATTCGGAGGGGTGCCGGAAGCCGAGGCCACAATGGCCAACTGGCAGAATATGGAGATACGAAGGGCCATAGCTGGAGCTAGGCGGCGCGAGAGTCACTGAGGGTAGCTCGATCGCTGGCATCAGGTGTTCAAGCCTTCACAAAGCAAACAAGCAGCCCCGCACTGGACCATCGAAAACAACTGTACAACCCTCAGCCCTGCAAGAAGATTTCATCTCTCAGACGCCACTTCAACACCTCTCCGAGGCGGGGAAGGGGGCAGGCAGGGCGGAGGAAACTCCACATTCACACCTAGAAAGATCATTTAGGAGAGACACAAGTGGAAATGCAAAACCCTGTTGAAACACTCAAGGCTCGGGAACCCTCTCACTTCTGCTTCTACTCGTCTCTAAGGGCCATTTGCCGACCGGATGACCAAGGTACGTCCATAGCTCTCACCCATGCATCTTCTCTCTGTTTCCATGCCTGTCGGTTGTGTGCAAGCAAACGCCAGGGTGGGCCGGCCACACTGTCCATGGATTGTTCGAGCACCGTGAGCCTGGCATAGTGGTGGCCCTTGTGCCGGATACCGCGACTGGGAGGGAGGGACTTTTGATACTCCCACCAGGGGAGGGTCCTGAAGTGTTCGAAGTAGCAACTAATCGGAGGATGGGATGACATAACCGTACGGACACGATGACCCGCATAACTCCACCACCTGCGAAGCCACGTAGTTGACCACCTCTCCAGCCCGGCCGAATGAAGAGCGGCGCGGGCGCCCCTGAAAGCCCTTTGACGGAAGCCTTCCCAAGTCTCATCCCTGGCCTTGGCGAACCTGAGAACAACTTTAAACCCGAGACCTCACAAACCTGTAGGACTTCGGGTTGGGGGCTTCAGGCTAAGGCTTAGATCAACCAGCTCACTGCTCCCCGCCACACCATAAGTTGCAACTGCGTAGAATTCAGGGCTGTCATTGTGGCTTTGTCCGGTGCGACGGAACAAATAAACCACAGAGCGGTACCACCAAGAATCCGTTCCATGACCCTAGCTCTTTGTTTCATGCTCCCTTTGGCCCTGAAGATGTGGCGAAGGTCCCAGAATTTGGCCCTAGCTCTGGTAGTAGCCGGAGACACCAGCTCATATGTAGACATACCGACCCTGAGAGTAAGCCCCATCACTTCCAAGCTGGTCGCCGCCTTGATCTTAACCCCATTGAGAAGGATGGCGAGTTCCCCTTCGGCATTGGGAGTAGCATACAGCTGACATTTACCCGCATTCATCTTCAACCCGTACTTCGCAAACTCAACCGATAGCTGCTGGGCACGGCTTTCCACCACCGAAACCAAACCGTTCCATAACATGCCATCGTCCATGTACAGCATTTCTTCAGGGGGAAGATCCGGATAGAGGGGTTTCAGATTGCGCCAACCGTGCCGGGCAACGGTATCCAAGAGGGCAAGTTCAGCGATGTACGCAAACAGCACTGGGGACTCGACCGCCCCCTGCTTGATCCCTTTGCCCATCGGTACGCTAGATGAACCCCACGGCGACTGTAAAATGCCTGTCGTGCCCCGAAGCAATCCCTTCCAGCAGTTCAGCTCCGCTCCCTGCCCGATCTTGGCCTCCAGCCTTTCCAGGAGCATCTTCCGGTCCAAGCTATCAAAAGCTTTTTCCAAGTCGAGCTTGAAAACCACCAGTGGGTTGCCCCACTCGCGCGACAACTCAAACAACCGGATGATGGAGTACAGGAAATCAGAGGTTTGTCTCCCTGGACCCGAACACTGAGCATAGGACTGTGGCGAGATGAGGGGGAGCGCTCGATGAAGCAGGAGCCTGCTGAATAGCTTGGAAACTGCCGAACCCATAGCAATTGGCCGTAAATCCTTTGCGGCTTTGGGCATCCGGACTTTAGGAAGGAGGACTAGGATGGGCTCGTTCCAGCGTTGCGGGATCTCGCCGGTGACCAAAATCCTGTTGTACCATTCTAGCAGATGCGCGGGGCCACCCTCTACCTCCATTATCCCCAGGATGAGCTCGGTCGACGTCAAGTCTGCTCCTACTGCCTTCCCTCGCTTCAGATGCTGGACCCCGGCCTTAAGTTCATCCATACTGAATGCCCTGACATCACCCGACCATGCTGTTGGTGACTCGGTGACTCCCTCTCCCTCATAGACCTTCGTCAAGTGTCGGTGTACCACCTCGTGGGGATCTCCTGCTTGGTTCTCGGCAAAGCTAATGTCCCACCCGGCATGACGCTGAGGTTTGAGCGCTCTAAGCAGCTTCCAGTCCCCTTGACTAGCCCTTTGCAGCCGCTCCCATTCCCAGTGTTTGCGTGCCTCTTTCCGGAGTTTCAAAGCCCCTTTCCAAGCTGCCGCAGTCCCCGATCGTTTGGCCTCACGAAAGGCCTTGCGAACTGCAGCTGGGTCACGATACCCTGTTCCCGGTGCCGGCTTAGTGCAAGTTCGTGCCAACCCTTCAAGCACGTCCTGGTTCATCTCGAAGATCCGGTCAGGCCCTCCTGTCCAAACTCGCGGCCTAGTCTCATGCCTGTTGTGGGTGCGCTTGGCATCCAACACAAGACACCCCTCACAAAGCTCATGGTCCGTGCCAATCTGCAGATAGGAGTCGACATGGATGTGCCAATACTTCACCCTGAGATTGCTAGCCGCCATAATGTCTATGCACTGTCCCTCCCTGTTGTCCTGCCTAGGCCGGCTAGTCGGTGTTGTGCGTTGCGAGTCGGACGGAAAAAGCATGCGCAAACCTCGTTCAGTGAGAACCTTGTGCAAGATGCTCCCTTTGCCCTCCTTAGCGACCTCAGCGACTTCACCGGAAGCAGGGTCCGACCAACCAAAAGGCGTGTTGACATCCCCTTGAAACACCACGCGGTGGGCACTACGAGGGAGACAATCGAAGTGATTCTGAACCTCGTCCTCATACTTCGCCACCGGGGCCCCGGGGGAGAAATGCGCCGTGCCCAGCCATAGTTCGATAGGACGTTCTAGGTGTTTGAGTTTGAACCAGGTACCCCTGTTCGTAGACAACTTGCGGAGGACGCACCATGACCCGGCATCATACCAAACCCCTGACCCTCTCCACTGTTGTTCCGCACGATGACACACAACCTTTCTGCCCGCAAGCTCTTGGTGATTCCAACCCTGTCTCTCTCTTGGGACTTCCTGGAGAACAACAAGATCGTCTTTTCCAGGCGCTTTGCCACCGGCTTCCCGAACTGCCTTTGGCAGTAAGGCGAGGTCAGCACCACCAACATTCCAACCCCAGATCGAAACTGCATACCCACTCTTGTCCTCAGCGGCATCTGTCTGCAGCTTGCCAGGGTCCGAAGCAGGCAGCGACTTGTTGTCCAGAACACCGGGCAAACTAGCTGTCAGCTCAAGGGCTTCTGCGTCTCAGAAACGATGGTCTTCAAGAACCTTCTGCACGTCGGCAACACTGGATTCGACCCACTTGGAGAGAGTGCGTTCATCCACCCAGGCTTTACCTGCACGAGTGTCGACAATGCGAGCCTGATGCACCTCTGGCGGCGGATCACCCATGCCCGAGATCTGGTCGTCCTTCACCCAGCATCTTCCAGTGCCGTATTCTGCGTCGAGGTCACCCATCCGGGGGACATGCAGACGTTGAACAACCTTCCGCACCGCCGAGACGACCGCCGCCTTGCCGCGCTCCTCGGGAGTTTTGCTAAAGGTTGCCCAAAGCGGCTTAGCCGCCCCAGCAATGGTCACCTGGCTGGAGTTGATGACCTGCACCACCTGCATCATACGCCCCCGCGGCTCATCGGAATCTTCCTGAGGACGTCGTTTAAAGTTGCACAAAGCAACCGAGCGTCGAGCGCCAGTGCAGAAAGGCGAAGAGTCGAAGTAGTCCAGCAAACCCAGACCCTGGAGAGCCTGATGCAGCTGCTGCAGTAGAACTTGGCGTCTCGTGCCCTCTGTCCATCCTCCGAACACCAGGGTGGTTTTGCGGTCCGGGCCGACTGGCGCAGACCCCGCCGGCCGCGCCTCCACCTGTGTAAGGCGAGAGGCAAGGTCTCGCATCCTGGCTTCCACATCCTCCATCCTGGCCCCCTGTGAGTCAACCTTCGTTTCAATGTGCTCAAGCCTTTTTGCTTGTCTTTCCTCGAAGGCATTGAAGGAGGTCGCCATCTGCATTTGCTGCGCCTGCAGCAAGGAGTGCGACTGTTCAGCGAAGAGCTGCCGGATAGAGTCCATCGTGAGTCCACCCTCCGATTGCTGACGGTGCTTCTTGGAAGGACTCTCATGCTCCCTCAAGTCAGTTTTGCCCTTGCCCTGGTCGCCATCAAGGTCAACGTCCGGACCGTCCGGCACGCCTGGAAGCCCAATGTGCAACTTGTTATGCCCGCCACCCTCGGCCATGTCAAACCCCGGAATCGCAATGCCCGAGCCCTCAGTAAGGTGCACGCAGCACACCACCAAGCCGTACCCGCTGTGCAGGATCGTGTACCCGAAGCTCTTCGCCAGCAGCCGCTCGCCCCGGAACGGATGGGCGAAGGAGTCCCCTAACACACAGCGGCACGAGCGACCGAACCCTCGAGCCTTGAGCCAAAAATGGCTTGAGCGCTTACGGTTTAGGGTTCAGGGTTGCCCGGTCCTTGTTAGAATCCAAACCGTCTCCTTCAGACGGAGGCTACAGCGGCTCTGCCCCGAACCACTGATGTAAACCCGTAGTCCCTGCAGCGCAAGTGCTGCTAAAGCCTGAACCCTGAACCTGAACCATAGAATACCTAAACGCTGAACCCTGAACCTTACAAGTAGGATTAATGGTTTGCGCCTGAAGTGTTGGAACAACGTTCTGGGGCATATTACACCGCAGTGATAACAGGAACTAAAGGACTGCGGACGGACTATTCCGAGCCCACGTATCCCCCCGCATGTGGAGTGCCCCGTCCACATCGCAGACATGCCTACAGTACACACAGGCATGATGCCGGCAAGGAACGGACAGTCCTGCTTAGGCCAGCCTTGCATCTATCTATAAATAGATAAATAAATAAATATATATATATATATACACACACATTCTATATATATATATATATACATACACATACATACGTATATGTACATGCACATATGTGTATATATATACATAAATATACATATACATATACATATACATATACATATACATATACATATACATATACATATACGTATACATATACATATACATATACATATACACATACATATACATATACATATACATATACACATACATATACATATACATATACACATACACATACACATACACATACAGATACATATACATATACACATACACATACACATACATATACATATACATATACACATACACATACACATGCACATGCACGTGCACGTGCACGTGCACGTACACGTACACGTACACGTACACGTACACCTACACATACACATACACATACACATACATATACATATACATATACATATACATATACACAGACATATACATATACAATATTATTTGATGCGTGTGTGTATATATATATACATAGTATAATATACATATGTATATACATATGTATGTATATATGTAGTATTGTATATATGTGTGTGTATATATATATATATATATATATATGTGTGTGTGTACAAACCGGGCGGCCCTCGCATCGCTCGTTCAAGGCCTTCCCGCTTGCGCCGCGCTTTGGGAGGGCCCTTCGGAGGCCAGGCGGGAGGAAGTCGAGGCTCAGATTTGGCCTCGACTTTTGGGGTTTTATGGGTTTAGGGGTTTAGGGTCGTAGGGCTTTAGAGTTTTATCGGGGTTTAGGGGTTTAGGGTCTTAACGGGCTTTAGGGGTTTAGGGTTGTAGGGCTTTAGAGTTTTATCAGGGTTTAGGGTTTAGGGTCTTAAGGGGTTTTAGGGGTTTAGTGGTTTAGGGTTGTAGAGTTTTATCGGGGTTTAGGGGTTTAGGGTCTTAACGGGCTTTAGGGGTTTAGGGTTGTAGGGCTTTAGAGTTTTATCAGGGTTTAGGGTTTAGGGTCTTAAGGGGTTTTAGGGGTTTAGTGGTTTAGGGTTGTAGAGTTTTATCGGGGTTTAGGGGTTTAGGGTCTTAACGGGCTTTAGGGGTTTAGGGTTGTAGGGCTTTAGAGTTTTATCAGGGTTTAGGGTTTAGGGTCTTAAGGGGTTTTAGGGGTTTAGTGGTTTAGGGTTGTAGAGTTTTATCGGGGTTTAGGGGTTTAGGGTCTTAACGGGCTTTAGGGGTTTAGGGTTGTAGGGCTTTAGAGTTTTATCAGGGTTTAGGGTTTAGGGTCTTAAGGGGTTTTAGGGGTTTAGTGGTTTAGGGTTGTAGAGTTTTATCGGGGTTTAGGGTTTTGGGTGGGATTCAGGGTCTTAAGGGGTTTTAGGTTTTAGGGGTTGGCGTTTAGGGTTTTAGAGTTTTGGGGTTTTGGGGTTGGGGTTTTGGGGTTCAGGGCTTTGGGGGTTTAGGGTTTGGGCGTTGAGGGGTTTGGTGTCAAGGGTTTCGGGATGCCTTTGAGCCTTGTTTACAGTCGCAGCTTCGGGTTTGTCAGGTTTGGGGGCTCCGGTAGGGCGGTTTCTAGGATACCAGCATCAGATGTGTACCGTACAGAAAGTCGGATGCTGACCACCGGCTGGAGAAAGTTGAGGCTTCATGCCGAACTGCTGAAGTCGGGGCCTCAAGAACCATGCAGAAGCGGTGCTTTCTCGTCAGAAGCAGGTACAGGATGGAATCAAGGGCGACGAGCTCTTTGATGCTCTTTTGCTCCATGCTTCAGTTCGGGGACTCGGGGATCAGACTTAGGCTAAGAACAACGCCCCGGCCTTGGACAATCTCAGGGCGCGGAAAGCCTCCGGACCTTGGTAGCAAAGCCTTTTGGAAAACACTGGCATTGCAGGGTTTAGCCTTTGGGCTTATAGGGGTTTAGGAGCTTGGCTTTAGGCTTTGGAAGGGCTTAGGATGCTGGGTTCTACCATTGCTGATTCAATGCGAGAAGGCTTGCTCTTGCAACTGTGGCTACAGAGAATGTTGTGCTTTTTGAGTTACCGCCGACGTACGAAACCACCGGCAATCCTTGAACTCAGATGTCTCACCTACACGGTACATACATCGATCTTCGTGCATCCACAGTGCGGCGACAGCATCTTTTGGCTGGGTGGTGAAGTAGGCATCTGTGGGAGCATCATGTACTTCGCACCATACTAGCGGCTAGAGACTAGCAGTAGGATTAGTGTTTACAATCTCGATGCTTGTTGCTCTTGGGATCCACTGACAACGAAGCGCGAGACTCCGGGCCCGCGGCCGGGGAAGTTGTTTGGCGGCCTGGCTTCGAAGCCAAGGAGAATTCCCAAAACAAATCCAGCCCCGATGCGCGGGAACTGGGCCTCCTTGGCCCGGCTTTGCCCGGAAGAGCAGCCCAACTTCGGAAGGCCTCCAAGCACTGCATTAAAGTGAAGTTTCAGACTTCAGGGACAGCCTACAGCAATTCTGAGAAAAAATCTTCAACTCTAGAACCTGGACCCCAAAATCCTTGAACCCATAAGTCCCCTACAACGCCCAACCCCCCAATCCAAAAGAAACTCCTAAACCTCCAAACCCCAACCCTAAACCCTAAACCCCCAAACCCCACAGTACCCTGAAGTTCTCACCCGTTTGCGCTGAAAGGTCCCGGCCGTAGTTCCCAGCTTCTTTGGGGGAAGCAGCGGCAACTTGGGCCTGGAGCCAAGACGATGCCAAAGGAGGTGCATTGCTTCTTCATGCTTTGAGGGTTTTTTTTTTTGGGGGTTTTCAAATTTCTGTCCTGATGACGATGACAATGACGATGTGATGAGATGGTAGGCTCCGAATCTCGGGTCTTTGCGGCGGTGGTGTGAGCCTAACATACCCTGCATGTACTTGCTGAGGAGCCAGCCCTAAGTAGTTGTCGGCCAACTGCTCCTGCAACTCACGGGCGCGCCTGGAACGGTGAGGAGCTTCACTCAGTCTGCTTGGCCGACATGGCCGCTGGGCATCGGTGTATGCGCTGCAATAGGGGTGCGTTGCCAAAGAGCAACTGGGATTCCTACAAATGCCTCGGAGCCCTACAAACCCTACTAGCACCTATCCAAACATTAGGACTATACGGTAATATAGGGCCCTTTATAGTTGGCAGAGGGTTTTGGAGCCCACTATAAATCAGGAACCCCCAAAAATACTACAGAAATCAGGAACCCACCGAAATACTAAGGTAATTTATTACGACCCCTATGGTGTTCAACCCCAACCTTGAGATCCCTCTTGATCCGGCCTCTGGCTCTCCTTCCTCTTCTCGGCCCAGCCCCGGATCTGCTTGTCCGCAGGGTGTGGCCTCATGCCCCAAACACTAACTTGAAAGGTCTTCGTCCCTGGGGGTGTTAGGGTTCAGGGGAAACCCCCCAGGCATTTGCCATGGGTTTAGGGTTTAGGCAAACCCCTAGGCCATCTATGCCCTGAACCTCTCAGCACTTTAGAGCCTTCAATCCCCCAGATCTTGAACCCAATGCTCTGGCCCTCTTGCACAAACTGACGCTAGGCCTGGGTCTCCCGGCACCCTGCCCAACAGCTGCCCGCGCGCGCTCACCAGTCGCGTCTCCAGCCAGGCCCGGGTCTGCCCAGAGGAAGGGAGTGATGTGTGCGTGTGCATGTATGTGTATATACATATCTATAGACACATTTTTACTGTAACTATATATATGTATGTATGTATGCATGCATGCATGCATGCATGGATGGATGTATGTATGTATGCATGTTTGTATGTATGTATGTATGTATGTATGTATGTGTGTGTGTGTGTACCTGTAGTTTCGTCCGGCTACCTTTTCTACTATGTACGTGCGGGAAAAGGTACACATGACTCGTAGTTCGGAAAAGGGAAACGTGGCAGCATTCTTGTTTAGTCGTTTTGAATAAACTGAACGAGGCTACCGGAATCAATTGAATATACAGAACCTTAGGCACCTAATAAGGAGGTACGTTACCTTAATTATGCTTCATCGATTTGCTGAAGCATGAGATGTTCGCTCCGGCGGCCTCCTTCTCCAGAACCCGGAGCTGGTAGAACCAATCGTGGGCCTCTTTTGGGTTTAGGTTTTTTTTTTTATGGGCCCTTTTCCGCGTCCGAAATTCCATAGGTGGAGGAGCCGGTGGGTTTAGGGTTTAGGGTTTAGGGGCGGCATGCAAGGATCTAGCGAAGCTACTCTGGCAAGCATGCGGGAAGTACGTCCCGCAACAGAAACTGTGTGCTCACCCCGGGGTTGCCAGCTTCTGGTCTTCCCATCTGCAACCACAGGCTGAGTTAACGATTACGGACCATTGAAATTGCGTTCAAAACAATGACGGTTTGCTACGGTGGCACCGAACAGAGCTGGTGGGAGCTGAAAGAAGGCTGACTGTTGTTGCAGTCGAGCAAGTGCTACCTTGGAAGAGTTACTAGTGATCACCTGCCTTTGCCTGAGCCCTTTCCAGCAGCAGGTTTCGTTTGAAACTGCGAACATTTTAGCATATTCTCATGCTGTCTTCCGAGAGTGACAAAGCACGGCAGAGCCCAGCTGCCTGAGCTACCACGTGGGCCGCTTGGAGCAAGTCGTATTGCCAAACCCGGTAGACCTGCGGAATGCTTGGCATAGCTGGCTTAGCTCTTTGCGCCTGCAGTCCAGTCCCGTACCAGCCATTCCAACGTAGACCCGAAACCCGGGAAGTCCACAGCCTCGCAGTCACCGGACACGGCCCGAAGGTAGGCGCCATGAGCCGCCTTGCCACACTGAGGCAGAGATTCGGCTTTGCCACAGGAACGGCTCCTCGCTCCCTGGGTCGCCGGCCAGTATACCTTCAGGTATGACGGATCCTTGCCTTAGCCCAAGACAGACTCAGATTTGTTGCGACTCAAACCTCCGAGATGGTTGGCGGTTGGCTCTTACCTAATTTACTAACATGATGCCACAAGGTCTGATTATCAGAGCACTTGAACGAATGCTACTGCAGGCCCTGAAGCAGGGATTACATGGTTCAAGGGTTCAGGGTTTCAGGGGCCCTACAATGGAGCCCGGGCTCACAGGTTGAAGGGCTTAAGCTTCCGAGGGCTCAGATGGGAACTGAAAGAAGTCACAATATATCAATATATACATATATATGTATATACATACATGTCATACCATATGTCATATATCATATAACATATCATATACCATATATCCAAACCATAGCTGGGCTCCGGTACTTGACGTGGAAGTCCAATGGCTCACCCTCGCCACGCGAGACCTCCATGGCCACGCGCCCACGCCTTGGCTCTCCCAACATCTGCGCTCAAAGAGGCTCGTTACGCACGTACACACATAGAGACAAATACATACCATGGGCGCACATTTGTACATGAAGACAGATTCGGAAGGTCAAGATCTCACCGAGCCCATGGCACGACGAGGGAGAATCTGGGCCCGGATTCATCGGAGTCCGCTACCGGATGCCAGCAAATTCCGTGCCTTGGGAGGGGAGCACGTGAGCGTGCACTTGAGAGAAGAACGATGGATGTAGATATGAGCAGGTAGAGACAGAGATGCGATCTGTGCTTAAAACATATCCACCCATCCAGGTATCCTTTATCCATATCTACTCCAGAACATGAAAACATTTGGATCGATAGTGGTAGAGGAGATGGACAGCTAGCTGGATTCTGCAGACAAAGCTGACTGGACCAGGTTTTTGGGAAGGCATGGGGAGAATAACACTCTAGGAATGAGCTCGGGTCTATTGTCTAGCTTCCGGGCACACTCTGCTCCACGCCCTTCTGTGGGCTGCTGCATTCAGGCGAAGCGGTGCCTTTTGGCAGCTTGACTTGTCTCACAAACCAAACCCAATCAAGGAGCTCCAGCGGCAAGCGCTCGGCCCTCAGGCAAAGAAGCTGCGCCCCAACATCCTTCAGCATGGTTCTACTTTAGTAGGGACAAACTTTTCGGAAGGCCCAGCGGCCCCGCACAATCGTCTGCATCCGGGTACGACTGTTTCCAGCAGCTTTCGTACCTGACTATTAATTGGCCTCAAGTCAAGAATGACCTGCAGTGCAAAACAGCCCCCAACGCAGTGTTGTTGCAGCTCCTCGTCCAAAGATGTTCGCAGGTTGAGCATGGCCGAAAGAGGCAGGCCTTCCCGGACCTTGCAGGGCCCAGCTTGGATTTGGAACATTTGGATCCAAAAAGCGGACTTGGCAGTAGCAGACTTCTCTTCCGAAGCCGAAAAAGCATGAGCAAGGCGGTAAAGAGGTGTGCTCGGTACCGAAGCCCTGAAAAAGGGGCCTTCATAATTAGAATAGGGTTTTGGAGCCCATTATACTACGAATAGTTACAAATAAGGAGCCCCCGAAATAGTATAGAGGTAATGTTTAAGGCCCTTCTCCTAAACCCTCAACCCTATAGATCCCTTTACAGGTCCCTGTAAAGGTAGTATAGGTAATTATTAAGGCCACTATGTTAAACCACAAGACGAGAGTGGCCTGGGATCGCCGGCCCTCGACAAGCTGCTTGAAGCCCTGGCGGCACATGAGCAGAGTTTAGGCTCAAAGTGCGTATGTATGTATATATATATATATATATAATGTAGGGGTCTTAATCATTGGAAGAGGGTTTGGGGGTATATTATACTATAGTTACATAGAGGAGCACCCAGAACCCGATTCTGATTGTTCAGGCCCCTACATTAGGTTTTGAAATTTGGAGAGAAATTTGGAGACATCAGCTTTGTAAGGTCCAGCCAGGGCCTGGGGTATCATGGGACATCCATGATCGCACAGGCTACAGTTTAGGGTTAAGGGCTTAGGGCTGCCGCTGCATTATGGCAGCAGCAGAAAGGTTGACCGGGCAGCGGAGCAGACCCTAACTACCCTAACCCTAACAAGAAAAACAAAAAGGAAAAAGGGACACAAGGGGGGGCCAGCACGGAATGCGACCGAGACGAGCAAGTCAGAGCCCGGTGGCCCCAGCCCTGAGCCCAAAACCCTCACAACACAACCCTAAACACTGCAGAACCCGTACTGCAGCCCCCTTAGCCCCCGAAACTCAAAAGCTTAAGCCTGAATGCTCAGCTTAAGCCTTACTACGCACAGGAGCGTACTACACCTTGTTCGGGAAGGAAACGAAAGACATTCTAGTCTCTACGAGGTAAATGGTAATTATAGACATAATTACTTCCATTTACTAGTAAGCTCATAACTGATTGCAAGTATTCCGTGATATATATAGATATATTTAATCCCTAAACCGGTGTTTCTAACCATCGGATCCCTCGAGTGCTCGTGTGTGCCCAAGCAGGTCGGGGCCACATTCTGCAGCAAAACAGGGCCGATTCTTTCGTGTGCCTGCTTTAAACCATCCGGGGTCGAGTGTGCCCAAGGCAGTCAAGCCCACATTCTGCAGCAAAACACGGCCGTTTTTTCATGTGGCTGTTCTTAGCCACCTCCCTCATCCCTAAACCGGTTTTCTAAGTTTAAGTCGCGCTTGTCCTTTTCGGAAAAGGACAACCAGCTCTTAAATTCAGATTTTCTACATTTAGTCGCGCTTGTCCTTTTCGGAAAAGGACAACCAGCTCTAAATTTTAGATTTTCCACATTCTGCCTCCAGAATTCTGGAAAATTGCTGGTGATTTTCAAGTGACAAATTCTGTTCATAAAATGTGCCTTTTAGACTACGCCGGCTGCGAATCTCGAGGTGCCCCCCTTTCTTTTCGTGTGGCTGCTCTTAGCCGCCTTCCCCATCCCTAAACTCCGTCCCTCGGAGCTCGGATCAAAAAATGGACCCTCGAGTGCTCGTGTGTGCCCAAGCAGGTCGGGGCCACATTCTGCAGCAAAACAGGGCCGTTCTTTTCGTGTGGCTGCTCTTAGCCGCCTTCCCCATCCCTAAACTCCGTCCCTCGGAGCTCGGATCAAAAAATGGACCCTCGAGTGCTCGTGTGTGCCCAAGCAGGTCGGGGCCACATTCTGCAGCAAAACAGGGCCGTTCTTTTCGTGTGGCTGCTCTTAGCCGCCTTCCCAATCCCTAAACTCCGTCCCTCGGAGCTCGGATCAAAAAATGGACCCTCGAGTGCTCGTGTGTGCCCAAGCAGGTCGGGGCCACATTCTGCAGCAAAACAGGGCCGTTCTTTTCGTGTGGCTGCTCTTAGCCGCCTTCCCAATCCCTAAACTCCGTCCCTCGGAGCTCGGATCAGAAAATGGACCCTCGAGTGCTCGTGTGTGCCCAAGCAGGTCGGGGCCACATTCTGCAGCAAAACAGGGCCGTTCTTTTCGTGTGCCTGCTCTAAACCATCCGGTGCCTATGGGTGCCCAAAGCGACCGAAGCCACATTCTGCAGCAACACACGGCCTTTCTTTTCGTGTGGCTGCTTTAAACTTTGCCTTGACCTTCGGCGATTGGAAAACTGGTGCTGATTTTGGTGTACCAAATTCTGGTCATAAAATGTGCCTCTTAATGCAAGGCAGGTGCGAATCTCGAGGTCTCCTCCTTTCTTTTCGTGTGGCTGCTCTTAGAGTTGTCATCGCCGCCGTAACGGTGGAAAGACTGTCCGCCTCCCTGTAGCTGCATGGGTATTTCCTTCGTGTTGGACGCTTAAGGACTTAAGCTAAGGACAACTGCTCCGGGTGGGTTGTGGTGGGATCTATATCGAGGTCCACGGACGTGACGAACTCTCTTACGCAAAAAAACTCTGACGTCCGTCCTACATTCTTTTTACCGCAACAGTTTGGTCGACACACCCTAAACCCTAAACCCCTAAACCCTAAACCCTGAACTTCTAAACCCTAAACCCTCAACTTCTAAACCCTCAACTTCTAAACCCCCAAACTCCTCCCGAAAGCCTTAAGCTTTGGGCCTCCTTCAGAGGTGCTGCCGAAGGGGCTGATAGTGCCTGTGTCAGAGCCTGCAGAAGATATATATATATATATATATATATATATATATATTTATATATATATATTTATTTATATTTATCTATTTATCTATTTATCTATTTATCTATTTATCTATTTATCTATTTATTTATTTGTTTATTCTGTATTATATTGTATTATTGTATTTTATATTGTGTGTATATATATATATATATATATAGATTTAGGGTTCAGGGTCGCGGACGCCGGCGGACACTGCTTTGTTTTGGCCTTGAGGTTTATGGCTTTTGTCTACTGCTCGCGGTTCAGGGTTAATTCATGGGCTACGGCCTGTTAGAATGAAGGGCTTATCGCCAGATGGGTGCTGCGGGCTCGTCACAGGGGCTTCCATCCCTTCCCCTGAACCCCAAACCCAAATCTCCCCCAATCCCGAAACCCTGAAACCCCTAAACTCCTAAACCTTAAACCCTGCCAACCCCTAAACTCCAAAACCCTTAACTCCTAAACTTAACCCCTAGACTCCGAAACCCTTTTGAGCCCTAAGCCCCTTAAACAGCTCAACTCCGAAACGCTGAACTCCGAAACCCTAAACCCTCAAACTCGTAAACTCCCAAACCCTACATGGGAAGTGCCCAGTTTCTTGCACCTCGAAGCTCACAGGTAGCAGTCGACAGGCAGTCACTGCAACAGCCTCGGCCCCCATAAAGGCAAGTTCACCTGCACGAGGTTTAGGGCTTGACCTTAACGGGCTTATATGTTACGGCTTGGCTGTATTTCCAGCATTTGATTTGCACTTGCAGGTCGAGTTGGCCGCAAAACCCAAGCATTTGCACACGTGTGCGTGTCTCAAAAGCCCTCCGTGCATATTTGTACAATGTACAAGCGTGCACAAAGCACGCATATGATATGACACCATGGGCATTCAAACACTTCCTGTCTCTTGGACCGCGGCAGTGGCGGTCCGGAAAGACAGCAATCCCAAGGCCTGTGCCGGACATGCTGGGTGAACGAACTTCCTGCTCAGCATTGGGCAATGAAGCCTTGACAAACCCGCCCTACTCTCGCATGTGCAATGGCTCTTCCCATGAATAACATAAAAGTACTAAAGGGGCCTTAATCGTTACAGAATAAGGTTTTGGGGCCAAGTCTACTATAATTATAGTAAAGAACCGCCAAAATAGTATAGGAAATTATTAATTAAGGCCCCGATATTATATAATGGAATGGAAGCTTCACAGGCGGATACAGCTTGTTCATGCCAGAAACGCTTGCACCGAAGAACAGCTCCAGAGGAGGAGCTCCCAGCAGTCTGAGCCTAAAGGGAACTCCAGAAAGTTGGAATATGGCTTCAGGGTAGGATACCTTGTAAGTTACCATAAAGGGTTTAGGATAAT